AATTGTTCCCTTGGCATCCAAGAACAGGGGCAGTATGTCTCTCCGTGAAATCCGATTCTGTAGTAGTTGAGCGCTCATTAACACTCGATGTCAGCATTACATGAGCTGAATCTTACCCATCAGTTCTTCCGATCTGGGTATTGAGTACTGTAGGTAGAGTTAGTTATTCTCGCAATCTCGTTGTCATTTGATGATCAAAACTGCTTAATTACAAAGGAAGCTTCCGACAATCTGTTGCCATATGCTGCTCGATAAAAATAATATGTGCACATTGTATCTTCTAATCGGACATGCTTCAACACAGCTAAATGCATAGGTTGCAGTTCGATTACCTGAAATTCAGTACTGCTAGTTAAGCTTTTACAGAAACATTATAACAGCGCAAGAGAAAGTACTGAATGGATTTGTAGGTCTTTGGAATAACTTTTTGAACGAATAACGACTGAATGGAAGGAGACAGTGAGTCAATAGGAAATCATTCAGTCTTACACGTCTGAAGTACCTGCTCGAATCCAAACGCAACATTAATTGAAACTTTCTCCTAACCTCACTAATGCGTTACGTTACTTCGCTATAAGGAAAAGCCACTTGTCAAATGAGCGGCAAGTCAGACAATCTGCGCAACACAAACGTGCGAGACTTGTAGTAATGCAATTCGACGCGTGCTCTGCGTCTGAGAAACATTTTTGCCTATTTGAGTGTTAACTTATTTCACGCAGTCTCTAGGCAGTAAATACACTCCGAGAAGTCTTCACTGTTCATCTTATATAACTTTCATTGGCTCGCGAATTATTCATCCTAATTGCACTGGCATTCAACTACTAACTAATGAATATGGTTCCATATTAAACTCAATCATTAATCACTGACAAAATGAAGGTAATCCAAGTTAATCATTAGCCTTAAAAATTCAAATTTACGTTGTCCTGGTCAGAAATTTAACATTTTATAAATCAGCGATTTCGAATTCACTATCCGAACACTACAAATTTTGATGTGATAATACTTTCGAACATTTACAAGATCGTTTTTATGGAAGTCTGTGTATCTAGTATCAGATCATGGTAACAAATTGGGGTCATACCTTAGGAATGGCATGCTTCATTCAGGACTGCAAAGTACAGTCGAAACTTATTCCCAGGGTAATTTAAAATATGATTCCGCTTATTATATAACAAAAATTTTGAATGGCTTCTAATATTCATGCACATGTAATAGTATAGATTCAAACTTTGCGCTCTATTGCTTCCAGAATATGCGTCATGCATATCTGAAACACCTGACAAGCAGTCCTGTCCTACCAAAATAGCTTGATGAATAATAAGTTACTTTCGCTACTACGTAGTAAGCTACTATACTCTGCATTTCATTGTCTCCATGCTTCATGCGTGAAAAAAATACAAAATCATCAAAAACAGAACGACTGCTGCACAGACTTGCCCTTATTATCGTTAACCTGATCGAAAGTCATGCTTGATAGTTGCCCAGGTTTCAAAGAGACACGCAGAATGTTTCTGAAACTGCCTTCCGCCTACTGGTAAATTGGAGAGTAGTGACACGACGACAGCAGCGAGACAAAGATGACAAAGATATCAGTTAGTAACGGAACCTCGCCGTTGTGAACCTAAAAGGCAAGCAACTTGATGTCATCAAATAACCTCCCACAGTAACGATGCCGACACTATGAACTCATAGTCTAAACTGGAGCACCTCACATTCACAGGAAACGAGCAACGGAGAGCTGATGAGGTAGTAAGGTCCTACCTGGAAATAGCTGGACCTTACTCGCCTCGACAGCAGCAGGCAATGGATAATAGCATTTTATCATATGAAGCCATAGAAGTTGCAAAATCTTGAAAAGTGAGAAAGCTTATGAAATCGAAGAAAAATGTCTTGAAATACTTAAAGCTTTAGGCAAACAAAGCATAGTGTAACCAATACATGGCCGTTAAATTGCAGTGAATATAGAAAAGAGGACATTGGGCTGGAAAACAGGGAGTTGCCGTTCCCCCTATTCAGGAAAAGAGATTATAGAGAGTGCTACAATTATCAGAGTGGCAACTTATTGAGTCTTGCTGGAAAAGTCTATGCAAAGGATATAGAAAATAGTTGCTGCGGAGTAACTAAATCTCTGGTACAAAAAGTAAGGGCTTGATTTCAGGTCAGGCCAAAACATTTCTGATCATGTCTTCGCCTTATTCCGGATTGTGATCGTTACAAAATCGGTGGAGTTCGTCTATCCGGTTTACATCTGCTTGTTGACTTGGAGAAAGCTTTTGATCCGGTCTCGCACAACAAGCTGTTGATGAGTCTGAAAGCATGCAGGATCGATGATCAGTTGCTACGAACCATCCAGTCACTATATATTCATAACAGGTGATTCGCTACGCTACAAGTAACTTTAACTCGAAATCT